TTAATATTATATTTATTATTTTAATTTATCAATTAATTAAATAAATATAAAATTTTATTTTTTTTAATTATAATTAATATTAAAAAAATATTTTTAATTTATATTTTTAAAATATAAAATTAAAAAAATCTTAAATAATATATAATAAGAGATAAAAATTTTATTTTTAATTATATAATTTAAAATAAAATTTTTTTTATCTCATTACATGAGATAAACTAAGAAAAGAAATGAAAAGTTGGCGGAGAAACTTGACCAAGGTCTCAGATTTGTCTGCGGCCATTTCCAATGGATGTCCCTATGGTTCATGCAATGGTGCTACTTGTTTGTTCCAGGACATAGGGCAACTTTTGTCTTCCTCCAAGAAAACCTTTTTATCCTGGTTGGTTATAATATTTTGGATGTCTTATCAAACTGCTAAGGCTGTTTTTCTCAGGCCTTAAAAGGTGCTATATACCAAATTAAACAAATGTGTCTGCCAGCTGGGCTTAACTTCAAATCATGTTTTCTTGCCCACGTAGTTGGGCTTTCTTGCCTGGCCTCTCAGCTTGTCACATTTTAAGCTTTAGGTCATGTCATGGCAGATCTCAGTGGCCTGAAAAGTCAAATGCTACTACTTCAAAGAGAGAAGTAATGATGATCTATTCCCTCTCTTTTTGACAATTTTTAAATTAAACTAACCCTTACTGAGGCAGATTTTTTTAATATTAAGTGATATTTTATCATTTAAAATTTTTATTTTATAATCTAATTTAGTTGGAGCAATAAAATAAAATAAAAAAAGCTCGGTAGTTATCACTGATCAAAGTTGTCGGCAAAATAGATTAGATAAAATTATTAAATTTACCCTCAAATTAACTAGTAAAAGTAGATTTATTTATTTATTTATTTTTGCACATAGTACTTTAAGTTAATCGACACTATATTAGTTTGAAGTGCATTTTTTTTTTTCTCTATGGGTGGGTTTTGAGTCTTCCTTGACAACTTGTTCAAAAAAAAAAAGTAGATTTAGTTTTAAATAAAAAATAGAAATAAATTTATTTATAGAGTTTTAATTGAAATAATTTATTTTAAATTTAAAATATAATATCAAATGATATTAACAATATGTTATTAATAAATTTATCAATAATGTAACAAGTTTATAAATTACCAATGTTACACATTAAATTTAAAATGATTTGTTTAAATTAAAAATTTTATAAATGAATTTGTTTTTATTTTTTGTTCAAAATAAATCTATTTCTATTGTTTAATTTTAGAGGTAAATTTAGACATTTTGCTTATAAATTAGACAAAAAGTATTGGGTTAACTGGCTCCAACTGTGAAAGATAAATATATAAGTTTTGAATGAAAATACATATTTGAGTCTCTTTATTACTTTTTAAGCACAAATAATTTTTTTAAGCAACTACAAGTGTTAGAAAATAAGAAAGAAGAATGGAACGAAAAACCCTTAAAACTTAGCTAAGTGAGGCACAAGTAATTACCGTTTCCATCCACTTCATAGACTAGGATTTTTAAGCACAGATAACTTTAAAGAAAAAGAAAAAATTAAGACGTAATAATATTAATATTAAAAGTGTCAGGATAATTTAATAATAATCACATAATAAATTTAATAAAATAAAAAGTGACATCATATTTTATATATTATATGGTTATTATTAGATATTTTAATATATATATATTTATTTTGATTGTTCAAGGAGATGCAACTATGTTTCATCTTTTATCTTATTTTATCCTATTCGCATGTCATATTCGAATTCAAGATTTTTTATTTTTAAGTAAAAAAACTATCACTGAATTAATTGAGTTATTAATAGATATCTTGATTTTTTTAATATCAAAATATTTTAATTTTCTCTTTTCTTTAATTTTAATTGGCAACATTTTATATTGTTTTTAACTTGAAAGAATTATGGAGAATGGAGAGGAATGGAGGATTTTTTAAAGTAGTTAGTAAAAGGGGAATTCTTATCGATTAAATCCAAATACAAAAACCTAAAGATAAACTATTTGATCCGAAATTCAGGTTATTAATTGGTGACATTCGTTACTTTTAAATCCCTAAAATGAAACAGAGGCAGTACTTTCAATTCATGGACTTCGGACGGTAACGTACTTTTTCTTTCTTTGAAGATCACAGGAATGTTTTATACTCAGTATAGTTATGGACTTCGGACGATAAATACTTTTCTTTGAAGCACACATGTTTTTGACTTGTAATTGTTAATGAATGCGAGCAGTACTTTCGTACCCACAACTCCATCCAACCTTTATTCAACGGAGGGCGCACCAGCGCAGGCAATGGGGTCGGAGTTGCCACTCCCAGTGGGGCCAAGACGGTGGGGAGGTGGTTGAAGGAGCGAAAAGAGAAGAAGAAAGAAGAAACCAGAGCTCATAATGCCCAACTCCACGCTGCCGTTTCAGTTGCCGCGGTAGCTGCTGCTGTGGCGGCCATTGCTGCAGCCACTGCAGCTTCTTCTTCTTCTTCTTCAACGTCAGGGAAGAACGAGCAGACAGCAAAGACGGACCTGGCCGTGGCATCTGCAGCCACACTAGTGGCTGCACAGTGCGTGGAGACTGCAGAGGTTATGGGAGCAGAGCGTGACCATCTTGCTTCTGTAGTCAGCTCTGCCGTCAACGTCCGCTCACACGATGATATTGTCACTCTTACAGCCGCGGCAGCAACAGGTGTTATCCTGTGGGTGGATTTTTGGTAATTTAATGGTGAACTTTTGAACCAAAATAATGAATTAACTTGCTTCCTCTGCAGCTTTACGTGGGGCGGCGACGTTGAAGGCCAGAGCACTGAAAGAAGTGTGGAACATTGCAGCGGTGCTGCCTGCGGAGAGAGGACTGGCAACCGGAGTTTGCGGGAAAAGCAACAACGGGCATTCAAACCAGAATTACAGCGGAGAGCTCATTGCAGGGGATGATTTCCTCAGTTCCTGTAGTCAAGAGCTCCTTGCCAAGGGCAGTGAACTTCTCAAACGAACCCGTAAAGGTGATTAATTATTATTTTGTTTTTAGTTTTTGATTTGGAAATTTTCTGAGCATGATGAATTATTGATGATGAACAATTGCTATATTTTTTTGACTGGGCAGGTGATCTTCACTGGAAATTTGTTTCTGTTTATATCAATCGGACAGGCCAGGTAACTAATTCTTTTTGTTGGGAGATGATGATATTTTTGATCATGCGTAAGTTCTTATCTCATTCATGTTAACTTAATCAGGTGATTTTGAAGATGAAAAGCAAACATGTTGCAGGGACATTCACTAAGAAGAAGAAGAGTTAAGGGGTTTCAACTTTAATGCACCTACTCTACATACCTTCATCAAATTGCTAACATGGTTTCGGGAATATGATTAATTTCTCCTTACAAAACAAAAATGTGTTGTTTGTGATTCAGACGTGGTGTTGGAGTTGTGCAAGGACATGGCAGCATGGCCAGGAAGACACCTGTTTGACAGTGGAGAACAGCGTCGTTACTTTGGATTGAAAACGGAAACGAGAGGGGTGGTAGAGTTCGAGTGCAGGAATCAGAGGGAATATGACGTATGGACGCAAGGAGTGTCAAGGCTTCTAGCAATTGTTGCTGAAAGAAAGCACAGGCGTCAGACCTCTGCAACTACATGGCCAAATATCAAGAATTAGGATGTTTTTGCTGTGGGTAGGATTGAACTAGATTAAAATTATATGCATTTAGAGGGATGTTAGGGAGATTTGTTATGGGAGATTGGTTATTTAATCTATATATATAATAGATTCTAAAATATAATATAATGGGTTAAAGATAAACAATGAAAGAGAGACGGACACAAAATATGCAAGCAAAGGAGAAATTCAATCGACTATTTACATAATTCCATCATGTTGACAACAGGATTTTGAGATGTACACCAGCCAAAACTAGTGAAGATTAGAGCGAATACAATTCACATGGTCAAAGAAGATCCAGACACAGTAGACGAACTGTACTCCTTTTACCCTTGGACAGCTCTGAAGAGAGTAAGCAAAGAGAGGAAGAGATTGATGACATCCAAATACAGAGATACTGCAGCCCAAATGTACTCATCATAAGAGAAGCGCTTAATCAGGTTGTCGGTGTCATATATGATGTAGCCGCAAAATATGATCGAGGCCAAGCACCCATAAATCATTACTGATATCCTACCCAATGGGAAGAGTATCTGGAGCAAGAAGGGCAGTGACGAATCCATTTTACATGTGAATGAAAATTACTAGGAAATATGGAGCAATGAAGCATTGAAAGATTAAAATACCTGGATCAAAGCAAAAACAATGAGAACTATGACAGCACCAAACAAGAAGGGTCCAAGGAAGTGAAAATCGTGGCCTCTCCTGGCAGCCCAGAATGTGTACAGAGTGAGACTCAGGACAATCACGGTTGTCAGGATCACAGATTCAAGAATCACCTTGCCTGTTGCCAAATCATTAATAAATTTTGTTAATGTATTCAGCTATGCTATGATCTTTACCTACCCTATTTAACAATATAATGTCAGAAAACAGTAACCTAGTTTGATAACATTATTAACAGACCAAAAATATGTGCAAGTACAGCCGTAAAAAACAAATAAAGCAGCTGCAAAAACATGTGCAAGTAATTTACAGACCAGAATCATTAGCAAGTAGAAAGTGAACTTTCTAATATATTGTTGATTTAAGATCAATAAAAGGATGTTTTGCAAAAGGCAGACGGGTGTGGAAACAAATTTAAAAGGAATCCACATAGGCTCTAAATTTAACCAAATCGGACTTCTATCTCTTTCGAATAGTGGTTTACTTCTAACAAAATCAGAAAATGCCACAAAACAATAGCAGTAATGAGCTATGTTAGAGGGTTTGACCATAAAAAGAATGTTACGCAGATTTGTCAATTAACCCCAAGAACCTTTTCCTAAACTAGTTGAATACTTTAAATCCATACGAACATGATTCCTATCCTTGAAAAACCAAAGAACAACTTGCAAAGTTAAAGTAGCCTTGTTGGATGCCTATACATTATCAAACACATGCTGAAACCATATAACATTCTGACAGGCCATGACGATTGAGCAACTTGTTTAGTAAAACATTTTAAAAAGAGATTTCTAATTTATTGCTGACTGCTGGGAGCTAAATTACACCAAATAAAAGAAAACGTCTTGAAAAATACAAAAACTCACTCAGTTAAGATTACTAACATTGATTTACCCTAACATCTTTCAGAATAGAAATCAAATGCCCTAAATCAAACAGGAATTACAGTTGCACCAAGCAGTTCATACGCAGAATTCTAGTTCCTGCCTCTTACTCCCAGAGAAGCAAACCATTTTCCAGAAAAAAAATGAAATGCTCTAAAATCCAAAGGAATAACCATTCGTCTGTTTGATCAAATAGCTTATATACATATTGCATAACTCTAGGTCCTTCCTATAAATTTGCTGCCCAATCCAAAAGTTATAGCCTTATATCCACAATTCTGATTCCTTCCTTCTACAGCCAAAATAAGAAATCACTTTTTCACAATCTTAAATAGAATCACGCGTTCCTTTAAGCATACCACAGCTAACAGTTAATCAAATTCCGAGCTAGTTTACTCGAAAACTCGTACACCCCTAACAATAAGGTTATCCGTCGACACATTCTAATAATAGGTTTCAGGATTCAAGAAATACAGAGGAACTCAAAAAAGCAAAAAAGGAGTCTCAAAAATCTTACCGCTAGTAAATGCACAGGTCAATCCAACCACAAACGCCAGAGAAATGGTGAAAACGCCCAGCAGAAGGAAGTTCACCGGATGTTTCTGGTGATAGTAATACAACGGACACAACGCTGCAACAAGGAAAGATCGAAAACAACAAAAATCAACCACCGATCCCTAATCGGAAACAAAAACAAACATACAGAGACAGAAAATGAAGCAAAGACTTGGTTCAAGAAACCGAAACTTACTGAGAAATGGCATAATGATGAGAACAATGTAGAGAGCAAGGCCAACTCCTGTACTGACAAAGAAGTGCGCAATAGGATGGACGGAAACCACCGTGGCGGCCACCACAATAGTGACCAGCAATTGCAGAGTTATGATGGAGTAAACTTTGCGAATGAAGGCCCAGCGAAGTTCAGGACTCTCCAGCATCGTCGGATACAGAGGCCGGGCTCCCGCCTCCACATCCTTCCGGTACGGCAGGTTCCAGTTCCACATGTTCTCCCAAAATGAGCGCTTGGATAGCAGGAAAGTCGAGAAAAAAGCGAGGGAAAACAAAGGATTTTAGGGTTCGGTGGTTGCGTACCAGCGTATGGTAGTTACAGAGGTTGGGGACGGAAACAGCCGATGGGTGGGGTATAAGAGAGGAAGCAACACTGTTGGAGAAAGTTCCTGATGTATCACGTAACACCGTATAGGATAGTGGAGAACACGCGGATGTTGACACCTGTCGAAGGTTGGAGATTCGTTGGCTATAATTGGATTACAAAATTACTTTTTTTTTTATCTAATATTATAAATTATGTATTATTAAATAAATAAATACATAAGCAACTCTGAGTAGAACATAGGAGT